TCCGAAGGGGGACATTCGATGGTGTACACTGTTTTTTTTCTAGGTGGAGGCGCCTCCGAGATTTGAAGGTCACCTTTGTTTTTTTAAACGGAAACGTAGTTTTTTTTCACGCTAGACACATAGCTTATCTCAAGACGAATTCATCGGACCTGTATTATGTTGACCTTGAAACGTCATTCAAGTTCGTTTCCATGGCTTAAAGTTTTCTTGCGTATGTAATGTACTGGGTGTCCCAAAAGTCGGGGAGGAGCCGGAAATGGGAGGTAGCTGAGACGATTCTGAACAACAATTTCCTTTGCAAAAATGTTGTCCGAGGCTTCGTTGAGGAGATATTAACGGAAAACCTCGACCAATCGGAGCGCGCGTAGACCGTTGGAGCGGCCGCGGTAGCGAAGGCTACGCGCTAGGCGGCAGCGTCAATGTCCTTCGATGCACGTCGAGGTCACTTGTTCGCGTACAAGCGCGGCCGCCAGCGCGTAGCTTCGCTACCGCGGCCGCTCGAACGGTCTACGCGCGCTCTGATTGGTCGGGGTTTTCTCTTAATATCTCCTTAACGAAGCCCCATCCGACATTTTTGCAAAGGAAATTGTTGTTCAGAATCGTCTCAGCTACCCCCAATTTCCGGCTCCTCCCCGACTTTTGGGACACCCTGTATATCAAAATTCAAACGTGCCTTTGAATTTTACTTAAAAATTGGCACGAACTTGCTGGACAACCCAACCATCCGCAACGAAACTAATTTCAAATCGGACTCCTTATGAAATAACATTTCGGATGTTCCTCAAATCTAAATACAGTCTGTTGGATTTAATCCTTTGCACTCGAGAGGTGACTCTCAGTCACCATTAGGTTTCACGCAGCAAATCTATCAGCAATAATGTTTTTTTTTTTTTAGGTTTAATTTCTTTGGAACTCGAAATGTCAATAGAATGATTGTTGGTACGGTAAAGGTGACCTGATTCTCAAATCTCGATAGCATTCGTGGCAATAGAATGCTAAGAAGCATCTCGAGTTGCTGGTAGATACTTAAAAAAAAAAAAATGACCTCGAGCGCAAAGGCTTGATATTTCAAAAATCGTTGAAAATATGAGCAAATGGTTATTATGAATGTTACTTCGTATGATGAGGAAAGTGTTGTGATGTAAATAATTTTTTGTAAGTGCTATAGTAGGCAGGGATTTTAAAATTAAATTAACTTTTTTGAGGGACATACTGTACATATTTATTCATACGATGGAATTTTTAAAGAGGAATTCTACGACCCGTTACACAAGGTCATTCAATGTAGTAGTTCATGCATTTATGACTTCACAAGAAATCGAATCAACAGAAAAAATCAATGCGAATCGTTCACCTGGTTCAAATTCATAGTTTAATTACGTACGGTATAAGTGGTAATCGCGAGTTTTTATGATCTCAATAATTTATTATTTATTACATCGAATGACCTTATGCGACGTATCATTAAATTCGAAAAACTGCGAGAAGTAGTCACACGGTTGGTCGTGGACCGATTTTGTTAAAAATCGATTCAAATCTTGAGATGAGAATATAAAGCTTTGGTGTAAAGTTTCACTGGAATCCATTCTGTCGTTTAGACGGGGGAAAAAAGTAGAAGAACGGATGAGAGAAAGAGAGAAAAAGGAGACAAGAAAAGGAAAAAACGAAAGACAAATCCTACTACGACGTTTTTTTTTTTTTTTTTATGACACATTCCACTGGTGTCAAAAATCAAATTATCTATTCTTAGTGAATAAATTTACGAAAATACATCTTCTGATACATTAGCTTCTTTCGCAATTTTTCTTTGCACTGAAACCAAAATTTGAAGCCATACGAAGAACTGATCTTTTACGTCTAGCCTATAGAACTTCCTTTAGTTCTGTCTTCATATTCTTTTCTATAACTTGAATTGATTTTTCATTGATTTTATAAGAATAATTCCTTACGAAGTCATTCGAAAGTCAATATATTTACATCCTTGAATTTATCTTTTTGTTAGCTGAAAACTCACAATAATGAAAGAACCTCGTTCCATTGAAGAAGACATGACTTTGAAATAATTTTTGTCCAAGTGAAATAGCATAATTTCCGTTTAAATTGGAACTTGGTCGTAACATTCGTGTAGTTCGCAAAAATATCAGCTAAAACTGAATAGTTTTGTTTGACACGTTACGTTTTCAAGTAAAAATACATTATTATTTCCTTAGTCCAGTGTTCTCAGCTTGTCTTATAATTCAGCTCGCGAATGAAGAAGAAACCGATACCAAAGAAGAAAGCGTTTCGAAAGGCGAAGTACTGCGCCACGCGTCATGGCTATCAGACGTAAATATATTTGTTCGCGCGGGAGATAAATACAGACGATGTGCAGACGATCTTTCAAAACATTTGTTTCAACCGGTGGACAAATAAGCCGCTCGACGTTCATTCGTGACGCGAATCTTATCGATAATCAGCGAAACAAACTCGATAACGACGTTTTTTCGCAATCGCCGTGGATTTGCAGTCGCTGTTTATAAATTGGCGGACGACGTGTCATCCGAATTGACGCAAAACATCTGAATCGGAGATGAGTAGAAATCCTCTTCTGAACAACAATTTCAAGTAACGAATAAAAGATGGACATCGTTAGTTCGCGACTCGCTTAGTTTGCTGATTATCAACTATCGCATCGATTTCGTGAAAAAAAAGGGGAGATTATGATTTTCGTGACGTTGCGATTTTGTATAAAATATAACCGTGTTTTTATTGAATATAATTTATCAGAAAAACAGTTCATAAATTGTATTTATTCTAAATATGATGTTATCAGAAATTAAATGAATATAACTTCTAAACTAAATGTAATAAATAATTGCAGTTTGGAGCATAAATCATATAAAAAATTATTTATCCTCCACGGGAAGAAAGGTACCAGAGTAATGTATCTTTTACTGATTTACAATGAAAAGTTAATTCTCCCCAGTGCGTGCATTTTAATATCACCACTATGCATTCCAAACAATTATAGGTTAACAATTAACTCTAAGGAGTTGTTTTTGGATTTCTGAAGTATCCACGATACTTAGAACGATACGTAGAAAGTTCCACGAGTATCGGTCTGGGAGTCAACGTTAATAAAGTTTGTTGATCGGATTCGCGATCAGGAGACATCCCCACCACTGTTTACGTTTCTTCAGCACGAGGGATCGTCGACACGAGCGGATGCCAGCTGTGAAAACAAAACCAGTCTGGCCAAACTTCGTCCTATTGCATCAAATTCATTTTCCATTTTGACCATTTCAGTTTGACCACTTTATACAAAAATTCTCTATCCTTGCTTCGCATACTGATAATCGACAGCATACGAAAGCTTGGTATTTGGACGTATTTAGCCCCTTTACCGCCAAATATTCGATCTGTGCACTCCACTGACGCCGTTATGGCGACATATGTATACAGTGAGTAACTTTAATATTCGGACACTATGAGATTTTTACATTATCACATCATAACTTCGTTTCTAACAGAACAAGCAAAACAACATAATCAAATATTATATTAACGTATAGGTTTAGTAAACAATAGTATAAGTTTTATTTATATAACTTACTGTAGTTATTAAATAACACGATTTTAACAAAACATTGTCTGATTTTCGCGTTACTTTAATATTCGGACACTTTGTATTTTGAGGCTAATGCGTATAATTTTAGTTTTATTTCGTCAATATCTACAGGCAGAATTAAATGTGTGGTATCTAAAGTTTTTGGGGAATATTTCGGAGATTCAGAATCTGCGTCGAGAACGAAACTGATATTCGTATTCATCACGTCGAAACGGGTAGAATGACGTATGACAGATGCCAAAAGCTTTGGGGGGGTTAAACTGCGGTTCAGCAGAGAATTATCTTCTGGCCTGATGTTTGTGGCAACGAAACTTCGTTACACAGCTTCCTACACGAGAAACGTTAACAGAAAACCAAGAGTAGCCTGTTTCGCTTACGCATCGCTATGCGTGCAAGGTCGGTATTTCCGTCGAGAAATGAAATGTAATACAGGGTGTTCCAAACATAATGGAAGTCGTTGAAAGGAGTGGTTCGGGAGATGATTTGAAACAACTTTTTCCTTAGCGAAAATGTTGTACGAGGCTTCGTTGAGGCGATATTAACGGAAAACACTGACCAATCAGAGCCCGAGTATGCCGATGGAGTGCTCCCGGTAGCGTATGAGCGCGGCCGCTCAGCGCGTAGCCTACGCTCAACCAGCATACTCGCGCTCTGATTGGTCAGTGTTTTCCGTTGATATCTCCTCAACGGAGCCTCGGACAACATTTTCGCTAAGGAAAAAGTTGCTCCAAATCACCTCCACCCTGTATATACAAGGTGTCCAAAAAATGTTGTAACACCTTGAAAGAGGTGGTTTTGGAGGTGATTTGAAACAACTTTTTCCTTAGCGAAAATGTTGTCCGAGGCTTCGTTATGGAGATATTAACGGAAAACACTGACCAATCAGGGCGCGCGTATACCGTTGGAGCGGGCGTGGTAGCGAAGACTACGCGCTAAGCGGCCGCGCTAATACGCTACCGCGAGCGCTCCATCGGCATACTCGCGCTCTGATTGGTCAGTGTTTTCCGTTGACATCTCCTCAACGGAGCCTCGTACAACATTTTCGCTAAGATAAAAGTTGTTTCAAATCACCTCCCGAACCACCCATTTCAATGACCTCCAAGATTTTTGGGACACCCTGTAGAAGTATTGGTTTGTCTGGAAAGTCCATCCCGATCGTTGATAGGTGGTACAGGTCTGAATATATTGTAACGTTTGAAAAGAAATAACATGTGTACATCCCTTAAAAGGCGGAAAGGGTGTGGAACAAAGTGGTACTTACATAATTCAATAAACATATATCAAAATTCAAATGTGTCTTTGAATTTTTTGTTAAAAATTGCCACGAACTTTCTGGACAACCCAATACATACATATTATAGTTATATTATATGTACAAATGTGTCGTACTTACTTCGTCACTCGGAGATGAACATCATAATTTCCCGCTTATCCACCGTTTATTCTCGATCAGTCCCATCAAAACGTTGAGAACGGCTCGTGCGCCATGCCGCGACTGACTCTGCGTATATGTTGTATAGTCATAGATACGGTTTTGGCCGTGCCTTGCAAATAGAAGCATTACCAATGGCTAGTCGTAAATCGACGGAACGTCCGATTTCCACGCATTGCTTTTCCACGGAATTTCATGTGCCACTGGTTTCCAGGATTTACAAGAAGTTTATCTAATCGCTCCAGCGCTTCTGAACTACTCGACGCTTTATTACTTTCGACGCTGAACACTTGAGAAAACACTGTGGCTCACTCTTCACCCACTGACGTCTATCCGCGTGTTGCCTCGCTATGAAACGAGAATCGTCCAGTATTCTTCAAATAATTCACTCGATGTAGAATACTCGGTAGAATACTTTTCACAAAACCGAAACGTCGTCGCCTAGTGATTCAACGTTACGTCGTCGTTGTCACTGGTCAACGATCCTTCGCAGTTAACCGACGAAAGGCGACAGCAATCGTGAACCAAAACGACCGTAAAACGCGTATAAATTCACCGCGCGGTTGTTGGCGCACCACTGACGAACTGTGTATCGGTCATAAGCTAACGGTGCTTCGGCGCGCGCGAAGACTCGCGCAGTCGCGTGATCGTTTACACGACGCTGACGCCAACGGTTCGGCGACACTATTTACCGCCAGAATTAGCCAAAAGAAGCGTGTACGGCGCACTTAACCCTTTCCACTCGAAGCCATCTCGTCGTAAAATGTACAAATAGAAATAGCGTCGTATTGGGTTGTCCAGAAAGTTCGTGGCAATTTTTAAGAAAAATTCAAAGCCACATTTGAATCTTGATATATGTTTATTGAATTATGTAAGTACCATTTTGTTTCACACCATTTCCGCCTTTTAAGGGACGTACACATGTTATTTCTTTTCAAACGTTACAATATATTCAGACCTGTACCACTTATCAACGATCGGCATGGATTTTCCAGACAAACCAATATAAGATACAATTGACTGCCGTGTAACGTCGTCAAAAGATTACATACTTTTACAATTTTCGAATAATCACAAATTGTTTTATTATTGATTATCATTCGTTATTATTTGCAAAATATCTTAGAACAAGATAGATTTTAAGATAGATTTTAACAAGACAGATTTTAGTTCTTTGTATTAATAAATTACCGATTGAGGAGCAGCGGTCGCGCCGATAGGGTGCTCTTCTTTCCGCTCGGAAGGTTAGTTGGATCGAGTAGCATGACTGCCGCGGCGTAGAGAGGAGTGGGGAACCGAAGATCCCCGATTGATCCCGATCACCTTCGGACCGGCTGTGCGCTACTCGATCAAATCATTACGCTTGCAAACGTTAATTAGTGTGCGCTGAATTTTGATTTCCTTCTAAAAATTTCATTGTCGTCTCTATCACTCTACGCGAAACGTAAATCTCTCTCGTAATAAATCACGAAATATTTTCGGGGCAATAAAGCCAAATTTGATTGTTCGCGGCAGTTTTCGTTGACAAAATGTCTTTACATAGTATTACAATTATAATTTGCATGGTTTATCTTTGGCACGCATGTTGCCATACTGCGACGTAAGTTTTGATTAAATTTGTTAAAATTCAATTTTTCCGAAAAATGGTCGAAGAAATAGTTGAAGATAGCACTGATCTCTCACGTACAGCGAGATTGGAGAATATTTGGGCTAAATATTACGAAGCAGATGCTTCAAGAAAGACGCGGTACAACTTTGAAATCGCTAGTGGATCGGATTAGAAAAATATGAAGGACGCTACCTGTCTCCAATGCAGAAAAATTAGTTAACAGCATGCCGAGACTTTGCGAAGCTATAATTGCAAATGGAGGAGATTGAACCCACTACTAAGTAAGAGCGTGTTAGATTTTTAGATATACTTTCGATCTGCATCAATTTTTGTATAAAACTAATTTTCGTCCAGAAATATCGCGTCCACCCTCTTATGTTACAGACTGTACATTCTCATCACGTTAGAAGCATTCTCGTCGATTCATGCCTTACGTTTTCACGTCGTGCCCTTCCTTATCAGATGACGTTTCCACGTAAAAATGATGCCTTTTTTTTTTCACATCACATCATTCGCGTAGATCTTACATTTGCAAATTGCATTTTTCTTCCAAGGTCCGTAGATCATTATGATAATCGTACAAACCGTGCTATATCGATAATCGGGGTGCATTACATTAAGTGGTATCGTCAAAGGACATCAGCTGTTCTTGAAAGACAGGCTTAGTTTATCCGCAATAACGCTAAGAAGTTACTTCGCGTTTCCGCATTTATCGGTGAAGTCGCGTGTTCGGTGAAGACTACGCTTCGAGTACGACAGAGACACGATTTCTACATTTGATATCTAAAGATGACCGAAAATTTGGCGAGTAACCAAAATTTGAAACGACGTCGAACATGGAGGGCGTTGCGCGCCACGGATTTCGAATCACTAATGTACCCTAATTTCTGTGTGAGTTTCATCCTTGGGATTTTCCCGTACAAGTGCGAATCATCCAGATACGTGTTCTCGGGAACACGGTTCGCCTGCTCCTCGTTGGTGTTTTTCATTTTCATCATTTTCACGTCCGTTTCGGTGTACCAAATGAATTTTGGAACTCTGACCTTCAACAACATATCCAGGACCACGTTCACGAATTTTGGTTATATTTGGAATGGAGGTATCGTCGTGGCGATGTATATACTTAGCCTGCCGAGGTTGCGCGTGCTTCAAAGTCTCGCGGAAATGTCGCAGATATTATCGTCGAAGGATTTCGATGATCTCGGCAAACTCTTCCATACGAAGGATTTCCTCAGTTTCTTATTCGTGATTATCCACTTGCCGAATTGTTTTAGAACCAGTGTCTATCACACCATGCGATATCTCGTTAGTATCTACATGGTGTTGACGTGCCTTTCGTTGGATATGTTTTATATGAACTGCGTGTGCATCCTAAAAGCTTGCTTCGGTAAGATAAACGAAGGTCTTGGAGAATTGAGCAGACCAACGGCGAATGATAACACTTGCGCGAAGAATACGTTGCGCGACGGACGAGAGTGTTCGCTGTTGCTCGTTAAGTTGAAATATTTGGAACAGAAATATCTAAATATCAGCGATGCTGTTCAACTGTTGAACGCGACATTTTTCCTTCACAATACGATGTTGACAGTTTTAACGTTTGTAATCGTCATCTTTAATGCGTATTATTTTATTCTTTGGTTACACGGAGGGTATACTGTTGACGTGACCGCACAGATTTGGTACATACAATTCCTCTCGAGCGCGCTCCATCACATGCTAAAATTCGTGATGATAATTTGGGCCTGCGAGACTGCGAAAAATCAGGCTTTGGAAATTGGAACCACCGTTCACGATGTTCTCGGCGATACTACCGATACGTTGGTAAAACAGGAGGTAATTATTTTATAGCAATAAATATAGAAAGTTCAAATAACGACCTTATTCGATTGACAATGTTCGATGATAACGAAATGTGATATATAGAACGATCGTTAAGATTTTCGAGGCTTTCTCGTGACTTGCTCGTTTATTATTTATACTAACCGAAGCTTCCGGGTGTAGATTTGAGTATCGGGTGCGTTTCGTATTCGAAAAAGATAAATTTACTGCTGCCAGCCAGTCGTAGCTCGAGCCTGTGCTCTCTCGGCTCATAATGTACAGGGTGTTCCTGGATTAAATGGCCAAACTTAAGAGGTGAATTTAAGACCCTAAAACAAACCAAAAATTTCCTCTAGAAATATGCTCGCAAACGTTTCGTTCAAGAGCTATTGACTTCTGAAGTTACAGAATTATAAGAATGAATAATGTCGTAATCTCCCTTTCCTTGTTTTGAATATCATTGATACGCTTTTGTTTGTAAACAAAACCAGACTTAACGCTATTAGACTTCTTTGTATGGAGCCCACTCAACCGAAAACTGTACGATGTGTCTATTAACACATTGAGTGCCAGACTGATACTCTTGAGAATTTCTATTGCGATTAAGTTTTGTTTCTGGACTATCGGATGCTACATATCGTGGTATTTATTTTTATAAGTTCGTTGAAGTTTAAGAATTTAATTCAAATTTATTTTTCTTTGTTACTGAAGATTCAAAATTAATTTTGTTTGCTCTTCAGTGAAAACCACTGTCACCCACATGTGGGTGACATGACGATCAACGTGTTAATGATCTTCAATCATTTAAAACTATTATTATCGAAATTATAGTTGGAGCTATTTTCTCTTCAAATTCTGCACCGAGACAATACGTACTCTGCGAAACTAGTCACTATGAACGCTGCTCTTCTTACGCAGGTAAATAAAAATAAACACGATCGCAAGACGGTCGGGTAACATTCAGGAGAGAATTACGCGGATGAATTGTTACGTACGGATTGTCAAATATTACGTGTCTTATTCAGAGAACGGAAGGTCATTCTCGCATGTTTATAAAAGCCAAAAGTATCGACGAGTAAATACATAGTATACAGTATTGTATCGAAATAAGCAACTCGGTCGGGACCAAATTGTCGAAACAAATAATGTGAAAACATCAATTGTTGAATTATCGTTGAAATTCAGCGCACTTATCTTATTTACAGTAATTTACAGTCATACGGTTATTCAATAGATAGAGATAGAACAAGCAGGGCCAAATGTTTGAACTTGTTCATTGGTGTACGAGGGTTTATTAAATCTCGATTGTTACAGTTCAAACTGTTTCCCTTGCTAGTACCGTGAAGATTGATCCAAGTAACAGCGATAAACATTTCTTTGCAGATGACAGGAGGCGTTGTGATGTACATCTTGATATTGTTTCAATTTTTGGAGAACTCGATAACCTGCAACAATCAGACTTAACAGTTTTTTTTTTTTTTTTCAAAATAACATGACCTTTGACGCGGATGCTCGTGCACGGTCAATTAATTGTTCGTTATACTTGCAACAAAGTTGTCAAGTCGGTTTATTTGTCTCGTTACTATGTACAAAATTAAAATATGTGTCGAATAAACAAAGTAAAAATATAGAATCGTGACATTGCAATTATTACGTACGTTGTTGGAATTGTAGGTTGGCGGGTTTTAGATATATCTAATAATATTTCGTATTGTATACCAGCGTGGTATACAGGGCGTTCCAGAACTCCTGTGAGAGCCGGAAATGGGGGTAGCTGAGAAGAAGATATTTTAAAAAAATTCATTTTGACGAATTCGAAAATTACGTTCACTTGCGCGGGGCTCCGAACTACGTTTCGTTACTGGATTCCGATGTATACATACTGTTATGTTTTATGTTTGGCATAACGTGAACTTTAAGGATCAACGAGTAACTTTAATGTATAACAGGGTTTGTACGATACAAATGTCAACAAAGGTAATTAAATGTGTTTTTAGTTTCGGAACGTCAGCACTCAATGGCGTCTTGCTCGAATCTTTCTAAAATGAGCTGTAAGCGTAACAGGTCGCGTAATTTTCATCACGTTAAAAGCACCCTCATTGCCAACGTTTCAATTATCATGTCTTTCGTTGTCGAATGATGTCTCCGCGATAAAGTGTCGCATATATACGCATTATTTATTCACGTCCATTCGACTATGTCATATTGCATTTTCATTTGGAACCAATGAATCATAGAGATAGTCAGTTAAACGGCGCCACATCAATGATGAAGTATCGTTATGTTAATAGGTTCGTTTAAAAAATGACGATCAAGTTGACGGCAAACAAGTTGTTCCGTGTTGTACATTCATTCATGAAGTCGTGTGGTGCGTGATTAGTCGGGACCAGCCTCCGTTTCTACGTTTAATATTTAAAAATGATCCAGAATTTGGCGAGGATCGAACATTTCAAACGACGTAAAACGTGGCAACCATTGCACGCCACGGATTTCGAATCGTTGATGTATCCTAATTTCTACGTCAGTACCATCTTTGGGTGTTTCCCCTACAAGTGCGAATCGAACAATTACGTATTCTCGAGAAAGCTATTCTTTTGGTCGTCGCTGATTATTTTTATTTTCTTAATTGTCATGGCCATTACAATTTATCAACTTAATTTTGGCGTTTTAATGTACGACGACGTAATCGTGACGACAAACGTGAACGTTTGTTTTATTTTGGGCGGAGGTATCATCCTGCAGATGCACCTTTGCAGTAATCAGAGACTGCGCGTCCTGCGTAGCGTCACAGAAATCGCCCGACTGTTATCACCGAAGGATTTCAACGATCTCGCGAAATTCATCCATACGAAAGACGTCGTCGGTTTCCTGTTTATGGTCATCCACCTGCCGAATTGTTTTACTGGAAACGTCTACGTGGTCATGCAGCATCTCGTTGTCTTCTACATATTAACCACGACTCTTTCAATCGACATGCTTTACATGAACTGTGTATATATCGTGAAAGTTGGTTTTAGAAAGATCAACGAAAGTCTTGAACAATTGAATAAATTTTCGACGAACGATGAATCAAATTCGGACGCGCCATTCGCCCAAAAGGCTACGCGTGACAAACAAAGAAGTACCCTGTTGCTGATGAAATTGAGAAATATCGAAGAAAACCACTTACGGATTAGTGACGTCGTTGACACGTTAAACAAAACGTTTCTCGTGTATAATGCCGGTTTGGCAGTCATGACATTTATGATGGTGACTTTCAATTTATATTTCTACATTCTATGGAGACACGGAGGGTACACAGTGAATCCGGTCAAACAGTTTTGGTACATACAATTCCTTACATGCGTGTTCCATTACACGCTGAAATTCTCGATGATAATTTGGGGGTGCGAAACTGCGAAAAATGAAGCGCTGGAGGTCGGTACTACCATTCACGACGTTCTCGGCAATGCTACTGATACGTTGGTGAAGCACGAGGTAATCATTTAACCCTTTGCACTCGAAGCCTTTCTTTCAGGTATCTTCTAGAGACTCGAGATGTTTTCTTAGCATTCTATTACCACGTAAACATTTTATCGACACTTCAAATTGGAAATTAATTTCCAAAGAAATTGAACCTGAACAAACATTACTATTTGCCGATTTACTCTGTCGAACTTAGTGGCGACCGAAAGTCACCTCTCCAGTGCAAAAGGGTTAACACCGATAACTACAGGGTGATCTCGTCCGAGGACGTTTCTGCTCGGCACACAAATTTTCGCTAGAGATCCCTAGTTCGCGTGTATCGAAATACCCGGCTACGCGGGCAATTAATGGATCCGTGTTTTAATCCGTGTATTCTTAATACACGACGCTGTTTATAATTTAGTTGCAATCTTTTTATCATGAAATTGTAGTTGGAGCTATTTTCTCTTCAAGTGCTCCATCGAGACAACACGTTCTCTGCGAGAGTAGTCACGATGAACACTGCGCTCCTTACGCAGGTAAAGTAAACCTTTCGAGATCGAACAATCTTTTACTTTTGGGTGGTATAATGAGAAAATCGTCACGAAATTTCATTTTAACGTCATATTGTTCTTATTGGTAAACCTTTAACATATCTGTCTGTGCTTCAGACGTGCATCAGTACAAAACTTTGAACGCGTTTTTCTTAACGATAAGTTAAGAAAACTAACAAGTGTAACTAGTAAGTCTACTGATATAAGAATAATGTTAGACTCAACCATTTTTTTTTTTTTTTTTTTAAACGTTAGTTAGCAGAGATATTTGTATTTTTTGTATCGTTCTCTAAAGATTGTTACAACGTCACGTGATACCCTCGTTAGTGTTTGTAAATATTTACATAATTATAACGATGGATATTTAACTACAGATGGTAGGAGGCGTTGTGATGTACTTTTTGATATTAATCCAGTTTGTGCTGAGTCACATAGACTGCAAGCGTCGAGATTAACATTTACACCGAAGTTGCATGATATTTTCTTTATCGAGTAAGTAACCAATCGATTCTCTGACAACTTTGAGAAGGTAATGCAAGTAATCATTGAGGTTTTTTTTAGTAACAATTATTAGGTACATTTATAAAACTACTTATAAGCTACGATTACGAGCAAGCGTAATCCAGTTTTGGACCGATTCCCGAGGAACCGCCTACTGCACCCCCACTACCGCTCTAGACTCGACGATCGAGCCGCCGATCGCGCACGTGACGCTGTGTCTCAGAGGCGTCCTACGATAAATATGTCTGGATCCATCCACGTAAATTAAAAATTAAAAATTTATTAATATTAGGGGGACCAGAATGTAACGTCGTTTCCGAAAATGTCAATACTTGTTTATAATTTATCAGGCCATTGTGTACCAATTGATTATTATCTGATCTAAGTTTGAACATTTGCACGCTAGATAGCAAAAGGTTGTTGGCGAAGAGTGCGAACATAATCGATTAAAAATAAAAACTTGTTGTGAATTTATTTGTTTGAATTTAATGTAAAAGAAACGACGTTACTTTCTGGTCCTCCTGATATTGTGGTTAGGTCTGTAAGCATCTTTTATATATACATATAAAAACAATAATATATTTTAGGAATCAAATGACTTTAAACGTATTGCAGTTTGTCGAACGTATTATTTATTGACCGTCTCTTACAACTGTCTCGACCGAACTGAACTCCGAATTATTATAAACAACAAGTCCGCGTTCCCACGCAACCATTGCATTCACGGACACACTCACACACTCTCACGTATGATACAGTAATTGCAATTTTGTCAATAACTTTCCACATCACCCAGGAGGCATTATTTGTTACAGTTATTTGAATCTCGCTTCAGTTATAATAAACCGCTTTACTTTCTCTACAAATAATTACTTTCTATACGGTTCGCAACGAATGAAACCAACATTTCTAAATAATAATAAGTAAATAAAATCATTTAAAGAGAAAAGTTGTGTGTAAATATAAACCTGACGCCAAACTCGCGTTTTAAATGTCTCCCGGCTCTTGGCAACCGGAAGAACGGGAGCTCGTTTCCGCTCGTTCGAGGAATTTCCATAAAATTATTAATCTTGACGATTGCAGGCTATGGAGTTCTGTAAGAACTGGAATAATATCAAGAGGTACATCACGACGCCTCCTGCCATCTACAAGGAAATGTTCATCATTATGACTATAAAAATATTCGTGTTATTAACTATGGGGTCACATGATGTTGCAAATATCTTAGAAAATTATAATAACAATAAATAGCTACAAAACTGTATTTTAATAATCTGTTTGATTTGTCGCTCTCGGATGATTCAATGCCAGTTATGTAAACCATTGGGGAAAAAGGGGCGAATTTCTTGTGGCTATATCAGTGAAAAAAATGATTAAAAGTAAACAAAAAAATTCTATTCGTTAATTCAGCATACCTGCTGTCGCGTATTAAAACATTGGCATTCCCCAATTATCTATTATGTGAAATAAAAATTCTTTACGACAAACTTTTTTTTAAGACACAATGTATCTACAATTTTGTACGACGTTGTGGTGCGATGAGCGGCTGGAGTTCGTTCGCACTTTAAATAAATAAAGTATAAAGATATAAAGTACAGGTGTTCGAGCTGCCTCGCCACCTCCTGAACTATACCTTACCTGCGTGAGAAGGCCAGCGTCCATTGTGACTACTTTCGCAGAGAGCGTGTTGTCTCGATGCAGAACTTGTAGAGCAAACAGCTCCAACTATAATTTCATAAATATATTGTAATTAGGTTGCAAACAGTTCCATTAATCTGAACATTATCCAATCGACAATCTCAAATTCTGAATATAATAGAACATAAATATTCTTTATTCGTGTATGGTGCGAAATATTCATGTTCAAGAAGAAACAAAAAAAGAGATGCGACCTCTGACGAATAACCGTAAAGTCTAAATAAATATTTCACCGCGTCACAGACGGTATCATCAGAGTAAGAAATGAACGGTCCACGTCACCTTTGACTTGGTGAAATCAGTATTGGAATCTTGTGATTATTTATCAAAAATTCAATTGTCATACGTAATATTTGATTTTATCTGTTCGTTTGTTGCACGTTCAACCAAACAGATATATCACCATTTGAGGGCAGTTTTCACTCCTTGAACATGAATATGAAGATGATTCAACAATGTAATGATTCTATAGGCAAGAAAAGAGACCAAAGAGAATAGAAGTAATAAAGAAAAGAATATAACTTTAAATTATGACCTCAGATTAAAAATTCAAGATTTGTTGACGAAAACTGTGTGGTAGGAATAAGAATTGGTACATAATTAATAAACGAGGAGAATTTAGGATACAAATTTCCAACTAGAATAAGGTTAATGTAATTAATGTTTAATGTATCGAAATGATAACGGAATAAAGAGATTACTGCTACTACTACTGGTAGCCGTTTGCTTTCTGTAGTTATTGCTGTAAAATAATTACCTCGTTCTGTGCGAACGTGTCAGTAGTATCGCCGAGTACATCGTGTATGGTTGTCCCAATTTCCAGGGCTCGATTTTTCGCAGTCTCGCAAGTCCAAATTATCATAATAAATTTTGCCGTGTAATGAAGCACGCTTGGGAGGAACTGTATGTACCAAAATTGTGTAGACATATCCAGTATGTACCCTCCATTCAACCAAAGAATGAAGAAGTACGAATTAAAGGTGATGACGAGGAACGTTAGAATTATCAAGCCTGTAGTATGAAGGAAAAACGTTTCGTTCAACACTTGGACAACATCGCTGATCCTTAGATGTTTCTCTTCCAAATTTTTCAATTTCACGATCAACAGGGTGCACCTTTGTTTTTCTTGGAAAGTCTTCTCGAACGATGGTGTTCCCGCGAAATTGTCATCGTTCGTTGTAGGTCTGTTTAACTGTCTAAGACCATCGTTGACTTTACTAAAGCAAGCATTCAGGATACATACGCAATTCATGTAAAACATATCCACTGAAAGGCTCGCCAGTGCTATGTAGAGGAAAGCCACATGTCTTATGGTATGGTAGACACTGGTTTTAAAACAATTCGGTAGGTGGATAACCATAAAGATGAAACCGAGAAAGTCCTTCGTATGGACGAATTTTGCAAGATCGTTGAAATCGTTCGGTGATAATATCTGGGACACTTGCGAGATATTCCGAAGTATGCGCAACGTCGGCCGACTACAAATGTACATTGTCACGACAATGCTTCCATTTAAGGCTACATAAAGATTCGCGTCCAAGGTCCCGGACAGGTTCGCGAACTTTAGGACGCCATAATTTATTTGGTAAATAGAAATAACCGTAAAAATGATTAGAATGAAAATCAATAACGTGGAGTAGACGAATCGCGTTCCCGAGAATGCGTACGTTGACGATTCGCGCTTGTAGGAGAAAATCCCAATGATGTAACTGATGCAAAAATTAGGGTACATCAGCGACTCGAAGTCTGTTGCGCGCCATGGTCTCCATGTTTTACGTTCGGTCAAACTTTCGGTCCTCGTCAAATTTTTCGTCATTTCTTGATATTAGACGCGATGACGATGTCTCTAGAGAAAATAAAGCCTGCATTTGACTAAACACGCACCAGGTAACTTAAGCAATTAAAGTGTACGCGAAGCAACTCCTGTACGACATCGCCAATGAACTGAACCTTTTCGATTATCCATGAACAGCTACCGTTTTTCGAAAACGACTGCTGAATGTAACGATGCCCGGTTATCGATGTAACGCAATTTGTACGATTGACGCAACCGTCTATGTACGTAGGAAATGCAATTTGCAGATGCAGAGTGTACGTGAATAAGTAATGCAGAAAAAACGTCATTTCGCCGTGAAAACATCATTTGTCAACAAAGGGCATGGAGGTAAAGCGTCGTGGATGAATCGATGAGAATGCTTTTAACGCGATGAAAATGCACGCCATGTCGCACCATCAAGTAAAATCTGAAAAAGCTGGCCTCTTCTTGAAACGGTTTTAGTGCGACACTTGATGTATTACGAGTATGCAAAAGTTGGTGTCTCCATTTATGAATTTCGCAAACATTGGTATTTATATTCTTGGTAACTTTTTTTGTTAACATTTGGCAATAGCATTCTATGAAATTTTTGTCTGTTTTGCGAAAGTTGCGTGTCTTTTTGTACCGTTCAAAATGTTGAAATTCCAGCAAAAAAAAAAGAAAAGGCACGTTTGCGAACTACGAATCTGATATTAAACATTGTGAATTTAGAATGATGGATGACACCATGTACCGCCATTTTATATTTTTATGTTCAGGCATAGCGAGAACTTTAACGAATAACAAGTAGCTTTATGTGACCTTTTACGGTTGTATTGAATTTATTAATTTAAACAATTAAACATGTATCAGAGAAACGTCGTAAGACTGACATATAAGACCGTGCGTAACTTCGGACAATTTGTTAAATATATGTCTTACAGTGTATCGAGTTCATCAGAAACTGGAACATTATCAAGATATACATCACAACGCCTCCGGCCATCTGAAAACAAATGTTTATTGTCGTTACTTGGACCCATCTTTTCGGCAAGGATGTCATCTGAAGTGTAACGTTCGATATTTACTAAACCCTCGTTGCTCGATAAAGAAGAGAAAAACGAAAGAAACTTGCTTCGGCAAAGCAACCAAGTGGATTGCGAAAACTGAGTGTGATAAGAGTGTTGTCGGAGTGGGATTAAATGTGAAATTTTCCAAATATGTGAAATTGTGGATAAAAATGAAGAAACAGGCACCGCTGTGTTAAGACGCAAAAACCGAGTGTAAGCTGCCAGCTTCATCACTGAGTAGAACATTTTTTTCGCAGGAGATGATGGTTGTAGTCATTATCGTTAAATCTCGACTTTTCTACAATTTCTCGTAAAACATTCGTCAACGACACTTGTAATCGAATATGATATGAAGTATTTCTCGATTCTCTAACCGTTTGCTCGCTTTTTCTTGAAATTCGAATGGAACGCTACACTTCATTAATGTGATTCCTTTCTAAGTATATTATTTGACTACCTTGGAAAGGTGTTTGCCTTACCTGCGTAAGAAGCGCTGCGTTCAACGTAACTATTCTAGCAGAGAAGGTGTTGTCTTGGTGCAGTACTTGAAAAGAAAATAACTGCAACTACAATTACGCAAATAAATTATAAATAGTTCGTACGAAGTCCTCGGATATAACAAAATATATTAACCAGTTGACAATCACCAATTTTATGAAATTTTATGTTAGACACAAATAGAACATTGCTCGCATTTTCTTTATCGACTAACCGGAATCCATTTCCTTGATCGGTATATAATAGAGTGGTGTTAAATGATTACCTCGTGTTTCACCAACGCGTCGGTGGTACTGTTAAGAGCATTGTGAATGCTAGCACCGATTTCCACCGCTTGATTTTTCGTAGTTTCGCAAGCCCAAACCAACATCGTGAATTTTATTGTGTAAAAAAACACGCTCGAGAGGAATTTTAAATACCAAAACTTCGTAGCTACTTCCACAGTAGAGACTCCGTTTACCCATAGGTAGAAAAAATACAGATTGAAGGTGACGACGGAGAACGTTATAGTTGTTAATATAGCGGTGTGTATGAAAAAAGTTTGATTTATCAATCGAACGGCATCGCTGATCCGCAGATGCGTCTCCTCCAAATTTTTCAACCTCGTTAACAACAGCGTGCTCTTTTGTTCGTTACGCAGACCCTTCTCCCTTGTTTCCGCGTTAAATTCATTGTTCGTCGTAGGCGCGTTTAACTGTCTGAGCCCTTCGTTGATTTTACCAAAGCAAGCTCTCAGAATACATACGCAATTCATGTAAAACATGTCCAACGATAAGGTTGTCAGCACTATGTACAATACAGAGAACTGTCGCACGGTATCGTAGGTAGTTTCTTTAAAACAATTCGGGAAATGAACGACCAGAAACAGGAAACCAAGAATGTCCTTCGTATGAAAAAGCTTCGCGAGATCGTTGAACTCTTTTGGCGTTAATATCTGTGACGTTTTCGCGAGATTCCGAAGAACACGCAATCTCCGTTTAGTAAGAATGTACGATACCACGGTCGTGCCTCCACCGAAGAATACATGAACGTTTCCGTGTATCGCACCGGGTGCGTGCAAGTGCATAAAAGTGCCAAAGTTTATTTGGTAGAGCGTAATGGATACGAAAGCTACGAGAACGAGAACCGTAAACGTGCACCAGAGAAAGTGTGCTCGCGAGATCACGTATCGAGACGATTCGTACTTGTAAGGGAAAAGTCCAAGAACGAAGCTAATGCAGAAATTAGGGTACATCAGCGACTCGAAGTCCGACGCGTGCAACGGCCGCCACGTTTGACGTCGATTCAAACGTTCAATTTTCCCGAAATTTGTTATCATCGTTAGACGTTAAACACAAAAGCCGCTATTCTATCGAAAAACGAGGTTGGTTTCGACCGAACGCGTACCACGTAACTTAACCGACGACCATGCAACGCGAAGTTACTTACCGGCGACGATGCGCGTAAACTCTGATCTTATCGTCGTTTACTCGTGCTGAAATAGCGTTTTTTAAACGAACCACTTAATCTAAAATGTTCGTGAATTAATAATGCAACAATGTATGTCACTTTAGCGCGGAAGCGCGTCATGGGACAATAAAGGGCATGGCTTCGAAACGTTGGCGATAACGCGACGAGAGGACTTTTTAACCGACTTCGAAAACGAGGAGGTTGCTCGATTCGACATGATTTTTTTTTTTTTTTTTTTTTTATTTCTTTTTGTGTTATCGTGTGTCAGTCATGTGTCATAATCATATGATATAAACTGATGCAATAAACACATGTTAAACGTAACCAAAAGGTATGTGCACTTATGCAAGGTGAAATAACAATATCATTATAATAATTGTTGAATATACAGGGTGTCCCAAAACTCGGGGAGGAGCCGGAAATGGGGGGTAGCTGAGACGATTCTGAACAACAATTTCCTTTGCAA